TATATATATATATATATATATATATATATATATATATATATATATATATATTATAGTATATATTTTTATACAAAATAAAATCATTTATGACTAGTATATATATTTGTTATGGGTGCAGGAGAATTATGGAATAAAGAAAATGGGAATATTGAGAATGAAATAAGTAGTGAATTTGTATTGATTGAAAATGAGGGAAAGAAAAAATTATCCTTATATGATAATAAGATTTATGAAGAAGAGATCATAATGGGTAATGATCATCAAGAAATTATTTTAATGGAAAAAGAAAAGGATAAATGTTTGGAAATTAGGGAGGAGATTAATAATAATAGTTCAAGTATGTTGTCACGAGATGCAATTTCAAAATATTTCTATATACCAATTATTCAAGCATCAAAGGAACTTCATATTGGATTGACACATTTGAAGAAAAGATGTAGGAATTTGGGAATTAGAAGATGGCCTTGTAGGAAATTGATGAGTCTTCAAACAATTATCAACAATGTTAAGGTATATGTATCTACACAACTTAATAAACTTGTTTCAATTATGATACTGATTAATAATATACATTTGAAGGAATTGGAGAACGGAGTCGGAAATGAAATGAAAGAAAAGTTGAAGGATATGATTAATGTATTAGAGAAAGAGAAGAAGAAGATAGAAGAAATACCCGACATGGAAATTGAGGAGAAAACGAAGCAATTGAGACAAATATGTAATATGAAAAATCACAAGAAGAGAAGACTAATGTCGTCTATGCCTCATCAATTACACCCTTTCTTTGATACTTATTGCACTACTAGTACTCCTCATAATGTTGAAGAAGATGATGAAGAGATAATGTCTCTTCTTGCTAACTATTCCTATTACGATACTCTAACCTTGTAGCACTGAACTTATCTTTTTTTGTATGAATTGATTTTGCTTTGGAGGCACATCACTAAAGTTATTTTAGCGTGAGCTACTCCAACTTTAAGATTAATTTTAATGTAAGCATGTATAAATCACATCTATGTGAATTAAATGCAATATACTCTTTTCTGAAATTTATGTGAAATGCTGGTTGTAAAATATTAAGGGACTCTTCATGACTTCATAATCAACATTAATATATTTTGTTACATATAAGGGTATAATATAATTTTTCAGTTAATGTGATTAAGGGATAAAAAGAATTGTCAATTTCTGCATAACAACCACAATTACAAACAACTCTACCTACATTAGTTTGTTTCATATTAGCATTTCAATACTACTATTATAAATCTTATTTTTTCACCCTATCAAATGTCATCTTAATTAGGAAATAAATATTATTAATTTAGTTTCATATCGATAGAATCTTATGGTCTTTAAATAACTAGAAATCTGTAAAATGTAAAAAAATAATTTTAAACTTTATCATTTTAAATATATCGTAGAAAATTAAAATTTAAAAGTGATTAAGAAAAAGTTTCTTTTTAACTAAAAACCAAATAAATTGAAATAAAATGAACAACTTTATATATATATATATATATATATATATATATATATATATATGGAATAGTCATATCAATCATATGTCATACCTTTACAACTAATAATTATAAAAAAAATTTCTTTATGAATTGTGGAGTGTTTCATAAATATTGTACATTTCATATAATACGATTTGACTAATAATTAATTGGATGTGACATATGGATTTCACTGCTTAAAAGAAGCGGCAAAAAAATACCTTCGACTTCAAGAATTTGAATTACTATCATTGTTACGCATATAAAGTCAAATTGATTTTGAATTTTGTAAATATTAAACCATATTTTTTGTGTTGGACTTTAATTTTATAAATTATGCCAAACTAATAAAACTCAAGTTTTTAAATTTTGGGTTTTCAGATTTTTTGGGTAAATTATTTATACATACATTTATAATTAATTTGTGTTTTAAATATTTATTTAATTTTATAAAAATATAATTATTTAATATATTTTTTTTAAAAATAAAATAAAAATAAATAATAATATTAAAATATTTAATAAAAATTAAATATAATTTATATAAAATAAATATTACGAGTAATAATGGACCATCACAGAATGAACGAGCATTGGGATTGCCCCTGCATGTTTGATAGTTGATACAAAGGATATATGTCTCAACATTTGAATAAGGTGCATTCAGTGTGAGTAATAAGACCTTAAAGAAGATACTTTAAATTTTATATATTACACTCATTCTTCTTATGGTTTGATATTTCTCCCTCGTATTCATATATATGATGATTTAAGATATAAATTCCCTTCATTTAAAAAAATATCATAATTTCTTTTTAATTTGTTTTAAAAAGTAAGTTTTTTTTTGCAACACTTTAATTTTAATTTTTCATATAACATGTTTAAGACAATTAGATTAAATAACATGTTGGTACATTTGACATAACTTTGATTTAATTAGAACTACAAGATTAAAATATTTTTTTTTAAATTTCGTCCCAAATTAAATTAGGTCATCTTAAAACGGAGGGAATAGTTTGTAAATTTTCAATCTCATCCAATTTTTTTTCTTTCTTCAATTTTTAAGTTGGAAAAATATATCGCATTAACATAAATAACCAAAGATGAGATATTTTCTTAAATTT